TGTATATGTATATGTATATGTATATGTATATGTATATGTATATGTATGGTGTGTGTGTGTGTATGGGAGATGCTCAGTATTTAAGAATGTGTTCTGTGTAATCATGACAACTTAAATTTGAATCTCCAGCATCCATATCAAATATCCAATCTGGGGAGGCCTGTAACTACACCATTAGGAATTACTGATAAGTAAATCCTGGGAGCTCCTGACCAGCCAGCAGAACCTAATGATACAATCTGGTTGAGTGAGAGATCCTTTCTTAAGAGAATAAGGCAGAGAGAGAGAGAAGAGGTGGGAGGGAGAGAGGGAGGGAGGAAGAGAGCAGGGATATGTACCTGCACACTCTCATGCACGCACCACATGTACACTGCACACAGCACACAGCACACAGTGCATCCTCACACACAGGCACTTACTCCTCTAACCTAATTGCTGCTTACCGACAACTGTTCACGTTAAATAACTAGTCCTTACAGTTGTAAGAAGAGCACACACATTAAATTTTTTACTCAAATTTTGGAGCAAAAGACATGAAGTCACTAGTTTTAATTGTGTATGCTAAAGATGGTCGGGGATTGGATGACAACAGGCTGTGCCATTAACCTTTATTGATCATCTATTATACTGTGGTTAGTGAGTCCAGATGAAAGGGCTTCAAATACAATAAACAAGATAGAAATCCCTGTTTGACAGGACCTCACATGCCTGGGGAGCAGTGGCAAACCATAACCTCTCATGATAAAGTACAAAGTGAAATAATCTGTGAGGTCAAAAAAAACAGGGCTAGGGACTAAACAGATAGCTCTGTGGTCAGGAGCCCTTGCTCTTGCAGAGGACCCAGGTTCAGTTCCTGGCCCCCATATCAGACGGCTTATGACCTCCTGTAACTCCAGTTTAAGGGGGTCTGACACTTTTCTTCTGACACTCAGGTGGTACCTATGACAGGCATTCACCACAAACACGCAAAAGAGCAACAACCACCACCATGACAAAATCTTTAAAACAAGCAAACAATTGAACAAACCTCTCAAAACCCAAAGCAACAGGATCAAAACAATTGCCTGAGTACCAAGGAAGAGAGAGGCATCCAGGTTCACAGAGGTCTCTTAAAGGGTGGGTGAGTCTGAGGTATGACAGGAGCTGGGGCGAGGGCAAGGGCATCCCAAGTCTGGAAAACGCCAGGCGCAGAGGCATGAGGTTAGGCAAGAACTCTGCATACTTAGGACTGTGGGAAGTAGTTTGAATACCCAAAGGAAATCCAGGCAAGTTTAAGCACTGGATTAGACCAAGAACAGGGAAAGAGCTCTCCAGGCCCACAGCCTTAAGAAAATGCAGAAAGAATTAAGGGAAAAGTCCTTAAATATTTCCATTTTTCTCCATTCTCATCTTTGTGTTTCCTTCCAATGAGTACCAGAGTGGGGGTCTCCCTCTTCCCTCCAGGAAAGCTTCTATCTAGCCCACATTCTTTTACCTAAGAGGTGACTTGGCATCCCATCACAGAGTTGACCACCCTCTCCCCCCAGACAAGGAATCTCTTGCAGATATAGTCAAGAGGAATCCTTTAAGTGCACAGCAGGGTGAATTCAACTTCCCTCACTTTAAGTTTCTGATGGATATACTTGTTTTTGTGAAACTAAAATGAAAAGAACAACTTTTGGTCTTCATAGAGAAACGGTACATAGCCACATAGAGAAACTATCCACTACCCACGTAGAGAAACATAAACTATCCTGAACTGTTAACTCCCACAGTGAAAAGAACAGTTTTCTTTAGTCATTTACATGGCTGTGGACCATATTTACTGACTTATAACTGTCAGAAACAATAACACTTACTTAATAACAGTTCAGGTATGTTCATATGGCTCAGTAAACAGCTGCTTATCCAGTGTTACCCAGGGCTGCTGCTCAACGGGAACACGGGATTGTGTGCCTGGCACCCGCATTTGTTGCCATTATGAGAAATAAACACTACCAGAGCCACAACATTTTACAATGGGAAGGGACTTGAATTATAACTGTGGATTTTTCTTTGTTTTTAAAAGCTATCCTGTGCTTTATAAAAGCCATCATGTACCCTGTCTTGACAATCTTAAGACTGTCCTGAAAGATTTTAACTCACAGTCTTTTGGACTGTCAGGTCTAAAAGAAACCCAGGACAAATTCTCCACTTGAAACATGGACATCACCAGATAGCACACAGGCAATACAGCCACCAGTGTGTGGCTTATACCAACGTTGGCATAAACATAATGGGGACATTTCCTAGGGGCTGATTGTAAAGGATAGCAATTTGAATGTCATTAACACACATTCATTGTTCCTTAGCTGAAAGTCCAGCCCGTTTACCACTGTAAAAGCTTTGTATTGTAAATGGAAAAGAAAAAGATGACAGCATATATCACCTGAGACGTGTCCAAACAGCATTCCCATGAATCCCTCGGCCATGGGAAAAAACAACTCCCAACAGGCCACCCTCAGTCTTCACAGGGTGTAAATTAGGTTCCGCTGACAGCAGGCTTGGGATACCTTTCTGCATCCAAGACCTTTTGCCATGCCAAAGTCAACAGGGGTGCTCTCAGACAATACGAAGTCCTGAAGCTGCCCTTGAAACCCTCTCTGTCACAGCCCACAGGAGTGCCAACAGGGAAATCTTTTAAATTCCTGGGACAGTTTTCAATGGGCATAAAGAAGTTCTTTGTAGCCCCAAGTGAGTCCCAAAGTGCTTTCCTAGGTCAGGAAGATGTTGGTTTGTGTTCATGAAACAGTGAACTCTTGTTATGTGAGAATCTACCAGATATTATGCAGTGTTACATATACAGTTAAATGGAAGGGCTGAGGTGGGGGCCATTGCTTTTCTCATTACAAGAAATCTTGTAGTTAGGCACTTTATGGCTGGTTGGGCATGTCTTATAAATGGCAAATGCAGGGTATACATTGGCTATGGCTCCGGCCCATGTCTATGTGGCTTCTTCCTCTTGGATTAGCTTGGCTAATGTGAACACATCAGTAAGCAAAAACTGTGCCAATCTCTGTAAATGCCAACCCTCCTGCCCTGACCTCCATCAGGTGAGTCTTCACTGGCTCAAAAGGACCACTTCTGAGGCTGGGGTTGTTTTTGTTGGGCAGAGAAGGGCATGAACAACTGGTTTACCTAAGACTTTAGGAAGCTTCTGCCGACACCACTGGGTGTGACAAGGGAGAGCAGCGCCAACCCCTTTAATAACTGTCCTTAGATAGCTTGCTTTAGCTGGGGGCATTTGGGGCAGACCTCTCTTTATCTCTTAAATAATTATTGTAAACATCCCTCTGTATAACTTTAAAAAGATTTACAACTTATCAAAGAATTATAAAGCAAACACTCAGGTGATAACCATTGCCTGGTGTCCTGTGAGGGTCTGCCCTGGAGGCCTTGGAATAACCACAGTCCTGACCAGGAGAGATATCATCTACTGGGGTTTCGGTGTCATCACTTTTCTGATATATATCTCTGAGGAAAATCCATTGGCTCCTCTCGTATTCCTTTTAAACTTTATATAAACAGAAGCCTCCTGTATCTACCATTGTGTGTTCTCCTGTTCTATATTATGTTTGGAAACTCTGTGTTCTTTTGCCTAGTTTAGTTCATGTATTTTATTTGTTGGCTATCACAGACTTGAGCAAGTCTCTTACAACATCATCACTTAGTCTATTGCTGACCAGCTTCTGGCCTGTTTGCAGTTGAGCAGTTCTGCCTTCTGTATCCCAGATCTATGTTTCTGGTTGCACATGTGTCTTTTGAGGGGGGGGGGGATGCTTACGAGCCAAATCACTAGGTCACAGGGTTCATAGAACATCCTAGTTTATCAAATGATGTTGAAATGTTTTCCAGTGTGGTCTTTACCAATTTATACTCCCACAAGCAGTGTACGAAATATCCTGTTCTCCACATCCTTGCCAGAACTTCATGTAGTCAGACCGCGGTTTTTGCCAATCAGGTGGGTGTACAATGGTATCTCTACTGGTTTAATGCATATTTTCTTTATTACTAATAAGGCTGAACATCTTTTCATGTTTATTGGCAATCTGAATTTCCTTTTTGGTGAAGCAGCAGCTCCAGCCTTTTTCCTTTTTTGTAACTGACTCTTTCTTACTGATGGGTGGGTGTTTTGTTTTTTGTTTTTTTCCTGGTTGCCATCTCTGTATACTGGACAGTGTTGATGACATAGACAGCAGATATTTTCTGTTCTGTCCTCCTTACAGCACACCTCATGATAATTAGAAGCTCTTCATTGAATATATTTGTATTGCCAAACATTCTACGTCTTCTTCAATGTACCTGGAATTGGCTTTTATACAGGCCAAGGAAGGAGTCCATTTTGGAAACAGAAGTCTTGTTCACTTTAACAGCACTCAATCTAAAACTGGAACAATAGAGAGGTGATTGTTGTGGCCTCTGTGTTAAGAATGACACACACAACAGAAGGAGAAAATTACCAAGTACTTTTTGTAAAAAGAAGGATTTTTTAAAAAAAGCAAATGTTTTATATTTTTCTCTCTATTGCAGATATGAAGTCTGCTTCTAATAAGAGGCAAATAGATTCCATGGGTTTTGTTTAGAGACAACAAAATATTTTTCCTGTTAATTCCCTTAAGAGGTAAAAATATATGTGTGTCATCGGCTTTGTCTAGGAAATACCCACAGAGGTATACGTACAAGGGCAGGATACACAGTTGGACATATTACACAAACCATCATAAATTCATGGACTGTTTTTGGAAAGCAAGACAGGAAACAGTTATAGTGGCTACCTGTAGGGAATATATTATTTAAACATTCTGCCCCAGGGAAACTAATATAATGTTTAAGGTAAGTTACCATAGTCTTTATTGGATAAGAGGAGTCAGACATCCAAAATTTATTGCACATGTTCTCCCAAGAACTCATCCATCAAATAGATGTTCTGATTTCAATTATTTTACATGTGATTCTTTTTCTACAATCACAAGATACTCATTGCTTAAGGAGAACAAGGATTATCATAAAACATTGAGTTACAGGACACACAGTCCTTTTGTAAGCTACAGGACTCAAATGCCTAACACCACTTCCAATTTCATGATTCCGATAAAAGCTATATGGTGACCATCTTGGAGGCCTGCTCTGGTCTGAAGGGAAACAGAGGAGAGTGGATCTGAGGGGGACGGGAGATGGTGGGGAGCTGGGAGAATTAGGGAAGGAAAGACTGTGGTTGAGATGTATTAAATGAGAGAAAAAATCTATTTTCAGTGGAGAGAGAAAGGGGGGGGGGTGATTTCCTGGTAGTACATACTTTTAATTCCAGCACTCAGGAAGCAGAGGCAGAAGGAACTCTGTGAGTTCAAGGCCAGCCTGATCTATATAGCAAATTCCAGGCCAACCAAGGTTACATAGTAAGACCCTGTCTCAAAAAAAGAAACAAACAGAAACTTTTCAGCTTAAGAGGTATTGCTATCTTTCCAATAGACAATGTTGGAAGATGAAAAGGACAAGGTGTTTTCTTCCTGCTGTCTCTCATCCTTTAACACACGAACTGGTTTATTTAAAGTTTAATGAATCATAGAAAACAAGTGATATTAGTATACCTAGGACAAAAAGTCATATGTATATATATACATATATACATATTAAATATAAATAAACAATATAAATATATATTAGATATATAGTACATATTATATAATATTGTCTATAAATATTATATAATATACTACACTATAATAAATTATAATACACATATAATATTATAGCATTATATAATACTATAATATATAATTATATAAATATAATTACATTTATAAATATATATAAACAGATAAGTGAAAAGTTAAAACTGGTGGCCTGAGTAGATAAGACAGGTAAGAGTACTTGCTCCGCAAACATGAGTGCCATAGCCCTTATGCCTAGAATCCAAGCATGACTAAAGATGCTGCAACTCCTTGTGGGCAGGAAACCATTGATCCTGGAGTGTGCTGGCCAACCAGCCTAGCATACGTGGTGAGCTTCTGGTTTAGTGAGAGATCCTGTCTCATGGTAGCAAGGCAGAGAGAGATGAGGGAAACTCCTGATATCCAGCTCTGGCTTCCACATGTGTGCACATGAGTATGTGTGCACACACACTCAAGTGAACGCAGCCCACTCACACCACATACCACACATACATACACACACACACACACACACACAGGTGCCACATGCCTATCAAATACATACACTCATACACATAGATAAAATTAAGTCATTTCAGCAGATACTATGTCATAGGGCAACGTTAGTGCATATATTATGGCTCTACTCCAAGGTTTTAAACTAAAAAAATACATTTATTTAAACATTTTAGACGTTATCAGTGGGATCTGGGCTGATGATTGGGAAAGCAAGTGTTTAGTGTTAGCTGTCAAACCTGGAACACATGACTAACTGAGACGTCTCTTTATCATATCGAAGCAGACATGGCTGCTAGGTCCTCCAACACCCCTCACCCCTTACAGTTACAGGGTATGGTTGTCATACCCAGGCCTTTACCTTAAACTTCTCAAGCTCGGGGGCTCGGCTATCCTTCCCCTAGCTGCCCTTCCCTATGTAAGCCAACCATTTTGGCTCTCCAGCCCTGTTTAGTTTACCCTTTACCCTTCAGTCTCTTGGTCTGCTGGTCTCTGGCTCTCCCCTCTCTCCTGGCTCTGCTCCTCACATTGTCTGGTTCAGGGCCATTTACACTCTGGACCCTTCCAGATGCCTCTAGCCATGCTCTTCCTCATATCTACAATAAATGTCCTCCACCATATATAGGAGTGGTTATCTATCTATCTATCTATCTATCTATCTATCTATCTATCTATCTATCTAGTTCACCTAGCATTTGCAAGGCCCTAAGTTTGATATTCAGCACTAAATAACTAAGAATTTAAAAGTTAACAGGGACCGCCAACATATAGCCAAGTCATAAGAAACACAGTATACCTCCCCATGTTGCTGCATCAATACCTGTGTACAGACAGACAAGTGCACTGAAAGGAGAGGGAGAGAGCTGGGCGGTGCCTCAGGTACAGTCACAAGATGCTTGCATTTGTCCCAGTAGGACTGTGTCAAAATAAAAGATTACCTTATTTTGACAGTTCTAAGAATGACACCTGCAAATTTGGAAGCACTAAGCCAGCATTTCAGCTGAAATACCGGCTGTCACTACTATCCTTTAGCTATCCTTCGAGTTTCTTCAAAGGGCATTGTTTTTTGGAAGAGCAGACTTCCTCTTTCTTCAAGGTGGGGTCAATAGAAAAGCCAAAGGCTTGCAGTTGGGACATTTGTGGGAGAAGCCAGGCTGTGGAGGCTGCATTCGTATGTCCTCTGGGTACACTGCAGTATGTACAACATTTCCTTACCTGGTGGATTCTAGTGAGGGAGTGGCAAGCAGGGAGAGATGAGGCAGGTTTGAAGTCTGGTACCCTTCACAGGAGTGGTCCCACTCCTGCCTTCAGGACAGAACTTCAGAAAAACAGCCAGATTGGGAGCAGGGAAACTTCCTGTCTAACTCAAATTAATTGCAGAATTTCCTGAGATTTGTTTCAGATATGAGTCATACAGGCGGGAAATATGGCGAGTAAGGAACAAGTGGACTGCTGAATAAGGGGTGTTGAATAAGGGGTGCTGAATGAGGGGTGCTGAATGAGGGGTGCTGAATGAGGGGTGCTGAATGAGGGGTTGCTAAAATGGGGAGGAGAGATCATTGAAAGGTCAGCAGGACATGAGATCAAAACCGAAGTCCAATCACAGCTTGAACCATTTATCAAATCTTTGACCTTTATTTAAAAAAATATATTTTTCTTTGCAAGCTAAGCTAAGGGCTTGACTTTATCACGCAACAGGCAATTCTAGCTATATTCCTGTCCTTTATTCCAAGCCACCTTTTCAAGACAGGGCTGAAGTTTGAAACACAAGACAGAGAAGAAGTTTGAAACACAGATCCAGTTCTCACAAACACAGCTTCATTTCCATTAGGTACTTGTTCCTCCTCAATGAGAAAATGCCTAAGATTCCATTGCCTAGGAAGCTGACCCAAAGTAATTTCCATGTGAATGGATAATCTCCCTTACTAGGAATCAAACAACTTCCGGGAGGCGGATGATGACCGAGACTGAGACTGGGTGAGTAGATTTGTTTACACCATTAGATGATGGTCTAAATACGCTGAGCCCTCGGATGATGAGTCACAGAGACTCTCCTATAGAGCCTTGGGTGGAGATTAGACAAGAAAGAGAACGGGATGAAGGAGACACAGAGAGAATCCAAACCGAGCATGCAGACATTCAAAGACACCTGAAAGCCAGTAGATCTTTTTTCCCTTTGTTGATCTCTCTCTCTCTCTCTCTCTCTCTCTCTCTCTCTCTCTCTCTCTCTCTCTCTCCCCCTCTCCCCCCTCCCTCTCCCTCTCCCTCTCCCTTTCCCTCTTCCCCCTCTCTTCTTCCTCTCTCTTCCTCCTCTCTCTTCCTCCTCTCTCTCTCTCTCTCTCTCTCTCTCTCTCTCTCTCTCTCTCTCTCCACCCACCCCCCCACACCAAAATAAGAATTTTTAAGAGAGGCAAAAATGCTCAAGTGTATAGGTCTGAATTTTACAAGCAAACTGATCCAACTAGACCTCCATGTGTTTTTTTTTTTTTCCCCACAGAGAAAGGGAGACAGTTACTTTGCCGGGTTTCTCAGGAAATCAAACAAGTTGAACTTTTTCCTTTAAGCAATGGCTCCCGCGTTCATGGACCGGGCTGGGCAGTCATCACTTGGAGAAAATTAACAGCAGCCTCTGGAAGCTCTGGTATGGGCCCTTGTACTTTGCTGCTGGAGCTGAGCCTGAGGTGACCTCCTGACTCAAGGGAAAGCCAAGTTCCTACCACACATTTACTATCTCAACAAAAGGGAGACTGGGTAAAACACTGCACTGCTGGGAACGTCTACGGTCTCCCTTGCGAGTGAATATATTGAAGCATTTCTTTAAACACCTAATTGTACTGGCATTCCTTTAAGCTTGTCTCATTAAAGCAAAGGAATAAAAGCAAATGTATGAGAGGTGGGCCACTGGAAAACTTTTCTGCTAGTGATTTCTTTACATGAGGTAAACTTTTATTTACCACTCGACTTCTATTTATTTGTTGACATTTTATTTGTGATGAGGTTTGACCATATAGCCTGGGCTCACTCATGATTGTCCTGCTCAGCCTTTTGAGTGATGCGATTGGTGGCTCGTCACATAATGTTACTGCTCCATTCCTGGGCTAAGTGGGGTGCTGGGTAGATGCCCTCCAGCCTCTTGTATCTCAATATCTGTGAATAGTCTACATGGTACATGCTAACACAGATGAATGAGTGAGCTATCACAGGGCGAATAAAACAGCCCGACCAAATGGCAGACGTTAGTCAGCACTGGTGGATGCTCTTGTAAAACTGTTCTGTTCCTCACATTTTGGGAGATACTACACATACCAACTCATTATTAGCTATAAATCAACTGTATTCATCGCAGAGACCAGGCGAACACAATGTTCTCTTTTTCTTAGTGTTCATACTCATAGGAACTTGTTTCAGCAAAAGCATGTTGACTTTCATATCTGAATGCTGTGGGGCCAACTGCATATTTCAGACGCTATAGATACATTTTAAAAGTTATTTTAGTTTTAATTATGAGTGTGTATGTGTGTCTCTCTGTGTGCTTTCACACAGAGAGACACACACACAGACATGCACAACACACACACACACACACACACACACACACACACACACACACACACAGTGCAGGTATCTGAAATGGCCAGAAGAGGACATCAGATTCTTTGATTTGAAGTCACAGGCAGTTGTGAGCTGCCTCATAGGAGTGCTGAAACCCAAACTTGGTCGTCTGGAAGAGCAGCAAGTGCTCTTAGTCCCTAAGAAGTCCTCTGTAATCCCTCTGTGTAATCTTTCCAATGTCTAGACATTTTTTTTAAACTAAGAAATATAATTTAAAATCACAACACACACACACACACACACACTCTTCAGTCTTTTAGAGTAAAACTCTTTTTATAAAGAGATAAGTGATTTGATAAAAACATTCTTGATATTTCTGTTTCTTTCCTTTTTTTTTTTTTGAAGGTCAGATGTAGTGGTACTTATATGCCTGTTCTCCTAGCATTTGGGAGGCTAAAGCAGGAGGAAAAGAAGTTCAAAGCCAGTCTGGGCTACATAGTGAGTTTAAGGCTAGCCTTGGCTACAGAGAAGGTCACAGTCACAGTTTTTTTTTTTTTTTTGAAAACTTTAAAACTGATTTTCAATAAGTTATAAAAAATAGCAATAGACTACACTTCAGCTGATGATAATGCTATATACAGTCAGGTACTGTGGGAACAGACTAAATATCTGTACCCTTTAAAAAAATCCAGGCATGGAAATCATGAGTCCCAATGAAATGTTTTAAGGAGACGTTACCTTCAGTCTATTTCTATGGACCAGGGTAAAGAAGTCATGAGGTTTCTATGACCAGAGTAAGGGGTCATAGACTTCTGTGAACAGAAAACAGGCCCTTACCAGTCACTGAAGTTGGTACCTTAACGTTAAATTCCTTAATCTCTGTAACTATGAGAAAAGTTTCTACTATTTATAAGCCATTTGATTGGTGGTAGCTTTTTATAGCAGGTTGAACAGTTTACAGAAATAGTACTAGGACAACTCACGACAGAGTAATGGCAGCTCGAATGTCCTGGGCCCACACTAGTTACCATGTGTTCACGTTTCTTACAGGATGTAGGGCTATAGTCCCTCTTGCCTCAGTTTGGCTAATTTCCCACAGGGTTGGAATGATAAAATAGGCATTAAATACCTCACACTGTGAAGGAAAGCGCTAAATCACCAGACTGAGAGTAAAAGATGGTCTTGTAGGCAGTCCAGACAGAAAACCAGTTCTGCTACTCTGGCCTCAGGCTAATGAGAGTGTGGCTGAGGCAGCTGAGGGGCTGTGTGCTGGCTATCTGCCCTGGGGAAGAGGTGGATCATTTAGCTTCACCTGCACTTAAGGGAGAGGGGCTCTGAGTCTCTGGAACTGAAGACTGCATAGGAGGGGGGTGTCCCCTCAATCCACATAGCACTGGAAGGAAGCCTGCAAGCACCAGTATAAAGCAGGTAAGAAACCCTAACTGAGAAGGCACACCGAGGAAACAAGCTGGAACAGGGGCTTGCTGCTAGAAGCAGGAGGCGCGGAGCAGGGTGGAGTGGAGGGCAGAGAAAAGGCCAACTCCGCTCCTCCATTCCACAAATGTATTAGCCAAGTAAGTCCTGGCTTTCCTGGGATACAGGATAGGTAGGGTGGGAGAGGACCTTATACAGGGCTACACGGAGTTTAGATTACTGTACCGGGCAGACTTTTAATTACTATAATGATCAGTTTCGGATGGGAAAGGCTCTCTCTTTGTGCTTCTGCAAAGTGATGAGATTGGCTGGAATTCCACCCAGCACAGGGAGAGAAGAGACCACAAGGCAGGAGTCTGCTGAGGAAGGAGGAAAGATGATGTTTGCACGGGATTGTGGATTCTCTGGGTTCTCCATAGTTGACGGTTACTGAACACATTACACATCTAATCCTTCCCATGGCTGCATGATGTAATCACTTTGCTATTTGCTTTCTACGGATGGGGAGACTGATGCTCACAGGAAAGTTAAGTCATCTCTAGGCAAGGTTTCACACACCGTGGCTGGGGGAGTCAAGGTTGAAACCTAGGCAGTCTCGTGTGGGGTGTAAGGGACACAAAGTTAAAAACCCAACCATATATCTGATTTTTATTTATGATATATATTCACATAGAAGATATGTAGGTACACTTACTTAAAAATCATATACATATGTAATTTAAAGATATGGCCTCCACATAAGCTTTAGGTTTGGAATCTGATCACGTTTTAGTGCTGTATAGAGACAGATTCTTGAGGTAGAATACTGTGATTGAGTCCTCCACTGTAGAATTTGCTGGGGCTTGAGAGAGATGGTTTAGTAGTTAAGAGTACTGGCTGCTCTTCCGAAGGACCCAGATTCAATTCCCAGAAACCACACAGCAGCTTACAACAGTCTGTAACTCTAGTTCTGGGGATCTGACACCTTCCTAAAGATACGCAGTCGGCCAAACACCAATGCACATCAAATTAAAAGTAAATAATCATTTAGAATTTGTCACTACAATCCCAGGAAACTAGGGCATCCCTCTTTTCTGTCTGGACTACTTTTGGCAGAACTGATGACTAAACTCCAGGCTTTGCCCACGCTAGGCAAGCATTCTACCACGGAGCCATATCCCCAACTGTCTGGGACAGTTTTGTAGAAAGGTTTAAAGAACGGGAGGCTTAAGCTGAAACAGGAAAGAAAACTACTTGGAGAGTGACAGGAATTGGAGACCTTAAGAATCCTGAGAAATAGAACCAAAAGACAAGCTCAGACATAGGAATGTTGAAGGCTGTCGATTAAGGACGTTTTTATTGTTTTTTTTTTTTTAACTTGGCAGTATTTTTCTATTAGTTCTTTTTAAAAAGGAAATGTATGTGTGTGCTAAGAGCCATTTGGGGGGCCATATAGAAACCTGCTACTAAAGAAGATTCCTACCATTTATACATAAAGAAATCTAAGAGAACTCACAAAATAATGGGGGTGGAACAGCACCCCAACTAGACAGCTCTCACCCTGAAGTGAAACCCCTAGTATCAGGAATGGATTGCCTATAGTTAAGTTGGCCAAAGGGGCCCCATAGAAAGCGCCAGACATCTCAGGTTATTGTCAAGGTTATTGGTGACTCTCCACAAACTGGTGGTAAGGTCCTATTGCTGAAGACAACACTTACGTGTATCTCCTTCACTGATGATGGAGAAGTTGAACAGGTTCCTAACTGGAGCCTTCACCCCTACTGACTAGGATTCATGGTGCTGGAAGTTACTTCGAAAATGACTAAAGAAGAAAAGTAAACATCAATCCAACCGCAAACACTATGATCTACAAATCGTGACCTGCCTATATGACATGGTGGTGCGCTAGTGCCACACACTTTGTAGGAGTGACCAATCACTCTCTGATTAGATTTAAGGCTCACTTCACAAGAGGGGACCCATGCCTGACACTGTTCATATATCCAAGAACCTGAGACTAGATAGGATGGCTTAGGAAAAAAACAAATCCTGTTGTTCTGCTAAAGGAACATAGCAATGAAATGACTCTAACAACATTCTGGTCTACCCATAGATCAGCAAGTGCTTTCCTCACTCTTCATCAGAGAAGCTTCCTCCTGTAGTAGATAAGAACAAATACAGAGACCCATAACTGGGCAATGTGCAGAGTGAGAAGTTTTGGAATACTCAGTCCTAAATGAGATGTCTTTATTGAACCCCTCCCCTCAGGGTTCAGGGAGCCATGAAGAAGACGAGACAGAAAGATTGTAGGAGCCAGAGGGGATGGATGACTCCAAGAAACAGTGTCCTGTAGACACAACAGGACTGTATACATATGAACTCACAGAGATTGTGGCAGCATGCACAGGGCCTGCACAGCTTCAGTCCAGACAAGTCAGTCCCAGTGCTAACAGGAGGCAGTAAACATGGGCTTTCATGCCCCTAGATGTTTCTCTGAGGAAAAACCAGTTCAATATAACTGCATGAACCTTTGGAAAATTCCCAGGATTCCAGTCCTTAGGTTTCTACTCACATGAAAATTAGAATGGAGTCATTTGCACCTTTTGTCTATGGAAATAAGCAATCCTTCTTGTCAAGAAAATCACTGAGCTTTTTGGCCTCATACTAGATGGCCACAAAACCCTGTGCAAGTTGCAGACCTGACAAGAATGTCGGATTAGTTACAGTTTAACAGCTCGACATTACCGAACATGTTCAAAGTCAAGTTAACAGGGCTTTTTGTTGTTGTTGCAATCCTCAAGTGTCATTTACAACCATTTAAAATTAATATTTAACCAAACCTATATAAATACATGTGAGCGTGTAAATGGGTTGGTTTGGTCCTTTGATGCCTGCTTTCTGCAGCAGGTGCTAACATGAGCTGGAAT